CCTTCAGCCTAACAGTGGTTCCAGTCTCTGTTAGATTTTTATAATTTGTTGTCAGTGCTCAGATATCTTTTTCTAAAACTTTTGTTTTCACCAAACTTTTGTAGCTTTACACTCTATTTGTTTGGCTTCCAGTCATCATGGATCATACGTGGGCTTGCCATAACACTTGTCTTTCTTGCCTGCCCAGCTTTTCCTGGTGGGTTCTTTCCAGGAACACACTCTGCTCTTCAGTGTTGTTTCTTTGACATATCTTTGAAGCTGACCTATAGCTATATTAGCTTTTTTTTTTTTTTCCAGGGCCATATATTCATGAACTGTAACGTTCCTTAAGTGTCTCAAAAATAAACCTGCCAGTGCCAAAGAGATGCTGGAAATATCTAAGCACCTTTTGAGCAGCTTCCTAAATTTTGTTCTGGCCATGTGCAAACATCACTGACACTTGGGGTGGAAAGGCCACTTGCAAAGCTGAAGCATGAGCATTGAAACCTCCCTTGGGGAAGGTGACAGCTAAGGACAGAGCAGTCAGTTAAGCCAGGAAGCCCCGGGGGTAGCTGGGGTAACAGCTGAGCTGGTGAGACAAGTGTCAGCAGAGCATTAGGACAATTGCACTATACAAAGAAAAGAGGATGTGCTGGATAGCTACTGATGCCCTTGGGCAATTGTAACAATTTGAAGAAGAGAGGTTGCAGTGACCAAATGTTTCAGAGAGGAGAGTTTGCAGCTGCCAAAGGTATTAAGACCAGTTTTAGAGAATGGGAGGTGGAGTGTTAGGAGGAGATGAAGTTAGAAGGAAAATGGGATGTAAAATTCAGGAAGGGGATGGTTGAAGTGAAGGCAGGACGGTAGGGGGGACCTGGCAGGAGACAAGGGAATGACAGAGTGCCAGGGAAATCCTGCCAGCACACCCAAGGTCAGCCCAACCTACAGGCCAACTGCCAAGCGGATGGCAGCACGTCGGAGGCAGGGTTACGGCCATGCAGGGTTTGAAGGAGGTACAGGTGTAGGATGGCAGAGAATGACGTGTCTCTACAGTCCTTGTGTCCAGAAATATGTTTGGGACATAGTACGCAGAATTAGGAAACTTGTGCTACTAGGAGGCAAATGAAAGCTGTTCTCTAAAAGCAGCCCTGGAAACGCTGGGCAGTGTGTTAGTGCTGAGGATGCCCTCTGCAGTGCTAGCTCCTGGGGAGAAAACCTGTGCTTAGGGTACCAACTAGTGTGTTTTGGATTCAAAATCCTTCTGTGACCTTGTGCAAATCAATGTAATCTAAAAATCTAGCTGCAGACAGCATCCATATCTTTGAAGTTCACTGTGCACTCAAATTAGCAGCCATTAAATAGTCATTTTTGGAAGAAGGAGTATATATAATCAGAAAAGGGGGTTAGGAGGATAAATGTGGGTCTGGACATCTATTGGGGTTTCCAAATGCACGTTGAAAAACAAGCTGTATTGACACCAGTGAAGATCCTGGAGGTCTTCCCAGACCCTCTGTGTCTTTGGATCCTCCAGTATCATCAAGAGGCAGCCCCACATCCTCCCTCTTGTAAAACAAGGTCATTACACAAGGAGTGTGGGGGTGAATACACCTGCTAGTAGCACTGTGGTGTAGGGTTATTTTAAATGGACTTGGGTCCAGGAGGACAGCAACCCTAATCTGTGCACATCTCACAGCTGTGTAATGTGTCATGCACAGAGCATGTGGATGGGATGGGTTTAGCTCCTGGAGGGGAAGAATTACCAATAATGGATATTTTCCTGGAAAGAAAACCTGTAGACCTGTTTGCAGCGGGGCTGAAGGCTGGGGCGGGTGAAGCTGAGCGTGCGTGCACTGTAGTGTGGTCGTTACCCCAACGCCTGCGCTCCGTGGACACGTGCTCTCTTGCAAATTGTGGCTTGCACAAGGCAGCTCTTGTAGAGATCAGAAGCTGGAGCGTGAATTGGGGGAACCTGACTGGAGGATGCCCCGTGGGGGAGGCTGGGACCCCACCACATCCTCGTTACCGCTGACCTTGGCACGAGCACTGCCTGCTGATGGATTGGCTATGGAGCTGGACAAGACCCTGGGGAACCACTGGATTATCTATTATCGTCCCATCAGTGCCTCCCCTGACCCCTCCCAGCTCTGAATGCCACAGGCATCAGGGAGGGAATAAATCTCTGTCTGATACTGCGAGAGAGAAGGGAGCGAGAGCAGGAAAAAGGAGAGATGAAAAATGTCCTTTTTATGACTCTCACAACAAAACCGGCCACGTGATTCGTAGCAAACATTTCTCTGGGAAAGGGGAGGGAGAGAATGGGGGAGAATCAGCAAAAAAGCAGAGCTGCTTCTCTTCCCTGGAAGATGCCCACGGGGAATTAATGGAGGGGTATGGGTGACCTTTGAAGGTAAACATCCCAGGAAAGGAAAGAGGCCTCAGAGCTTCAGAAAGCTCACTCCAGTGTCTGATGCTGCCTTGTGAAATGCTCCGTGCAGCACACATCCACCGTGAACAGAAAGCAGAGGCGTAAGCGCTCTATGCTGGAGGGAGCAGCGGTGCCAGGGTGTGATTAATAAGGCACTTACCCTGCTCATTTCTGTTGGGAATGGTCCAGGAAAGCTTGGACTTGGGAGCCTGGGGAGGAGAACTGACCTTGGGGTCTTCAGGAGACAGAATCCTTTAGCAGTGCAGCCCAGGGCTGGAGAAGCCATCTGCACGTCACCCACTGACCGCTCTAAGACCACAAACATGTTCCTGTGAGAGCTGCTGAGCTGTTGGGGTCTGATAACCCCCTGTGCTGCTGTGCCCAGGGAGGCAGCCCGGCCCTGAGTGTTAGTTGCAATTCCAGCTGCATGGAAGAGCTGCAGCAGGGCTGAGGGTGCAGCCTGGGAGGGTTTGGCACTGGTGTTCTGGGGATGGTCCCAGAACATTGCTATTGTGGGGCAGGGTGGCTGCAGCTGCTTCCAGTGTGAAGGGCAGCACATTTGCTCTCTATCCTTCCCCGCCATAGTGTCTGTGCCAGGGAATGATGTGCAGGCTCTGTTCTTGTCGAAAAACTTCACTGTGCTGGAGATGTTTGTCAAAGTGGATGTTTCTAAAGGCAAGCAAGTGCTTGAAGTGGTGGAAAAAGACAATATGCCACCATTCTTTTCTTCTGCCCCAAGACAAGCATGTATCTTCGTTGTGAGTGCCTTCCCAATTAGCAGCACTAAGATTGCAGTAGTGCAGGGCTTGGAGTCTGGAAGCAGAAGGAACTTAAATCCATTGACAACCATCCTTCTTAACAGGGCAGGTCTTGCTGAACTTGGGCAGCTGTGACTGGGGAGTGCTTGCCCAAGGTGCTGTCTTTGACTCGCCAGTTGTGGAAAAGTGTGTTAAATTCCTGCTTTTACCGAAATGGCTCTAACAACTCCTTGGTGATCCCAGTAACTTGATTTTGTCTATAATGTGCTTTTAAAGTAAAGGGATAAATCCAATCCGTCTGCATAAAAGGTAGCTATTAAGGAGCAGGCAAGTTGCACAATAATAACTTTAAATTAAAAGCCCTTTCCCACTACTTCTGCTGTTGGGGGGTCTGCAGATTGTCCTTAAAACTTTTGAAACGTGCCTAGACTTCTTCCAGGCAGCCATTTAACCTCCATTTATGAAGAAATAAAGCAAAATTGATGTTGATTTTGGTCTACATTGGGGGATACTTTTGCAACATAAAAGCCCTTTTGCCTGCAATTTGCAGAGCAGCCCTGTCACATCGGAGAGGGCTGATCCTGATAAAGATAAAGCTTTATAGCTGGGGCATTTGCAGCTAACAGCAAGCTAATGCTACATTTTCATTTTGATGCAATTAATGTTAATGTCTGCTACGAAAATTGTCATTAAATACCATTTTAAAATCCATTCAATTTGCATATGCAGAGCCCATTTACTATCATGGAAAATACACGGTGCTGTTCATCATGTCTTTTCTCTAGAATTTGTAGCTGTTATTTTTTTGGTAGTGATTATTATTATCTGGCTCTTAAAATGAAATGTAATGTCTGGTCCAGACCTGCACAGAGCAAGAAAACCCTCTGTGCTCCAGCAGCAGCAGCAGAGCTGCTTTGGAGCCCCTTTCAGAGGCTTTGAGCCCTTGTTTGCCTGGAATTCTCACTGAACCTTCCAGACTGCCGTGTCCTCCAGCCTCCCTCGTGCTCTCCCATGGAGGACAGACAGCGGAAGGACTACAAGTCAGTCTGAGGTGCCAATGTTCTCCCCTGCAGCCTCCCTGTTTGCACAGTTCCCTGTGAGAAACCAGTACAACAGGCAGCTGGTGTGTGAGGACGACGTTAAATGGGTCACTCCTAAGTGCTGTACCTGTTTGAACCTCAGGGAGGGCTCACGTATGCTGGATGCTTTACAAAAATATTTTGGAAGATGCTGTGATGCAAAAGACCTAACTTAGTGCGAAGCCTTAAATCTCCTGCTGCATTGCAAGGGGCTGCTGGGGGAGCAGCGGGTACCAGCTCCCCTCCAGCCCTGGGGAGGGAGCCCAAGAAAGGAGGAGAGAGAGCAGTGATGAGCTGCTTTGCCTTCATCCAGATGTACTACCAGTTTCTGCCCAATGTAGAGAGATGAGCGGGAGAGTGTAGCATAGATAACCTGAACTGATTCTTAACAGCACCAGAGTGTTTCAAGCAGTCTGAACAGGTAGAAATGCAGTTGCTCTGATTTTCTGACCCTGGAAAGCCATTATTCTGGTTTATGACTCTTCATATTCCTTTGAGTTAAAGGATTGGCATTGAATGGATTTTTAAGGGGTTCCAAGCCCTTAGTGCCAGAGGTGGGAGGGGGATGTGTTGTGGTATGCGGGTTAGGTTTAGGTAGGTGGTTATCTGACACACAGCTGCAATCAGACATGGGAGTGATGCTGTGGCTCAGTTGCAGTGTGTTCAGGACACTTCTCTTTTGAGGACTCTGCTAGCTGAGATGTGAGGGTAGGAGAGGATAATCTCATTCTGAGGAGGGGTCCAAGCCTTCCCCCTTACCGTGTGGAGATGCCATAAGTCATGTCTGCAGGTACTGAAGGAGGACTTCTCTTGAAGCGACTGCAGTCATCATCTTTGCGCCGAATGTCCTTGGCCTTGTAGTACAAGTTAAATTCATGGGCTGTGGTATAACCAGCCTTCAGAGCACCACGGTTCATGGTGATGAAGTCTCGGGGCATCTTCTGAACTAAACCAGTCCTGGGCTTTACCGTCTCCCAGTGGCATATGGCTGGAGAGGGAAGGAAACACGAGAGGCAAAGAGAGAAAGATCAGGGATTTGGGTGACTCCCGTTTGGGAAGGCAGGCTGGTGGTTGTGCACCATGGCTTCACTGCAGAGTGAGCTTTGTATCCTGTCCCACTGCATTTCACATGGGGACATCTATCTAAACTGGATGTCTTCTCACCCTCCACCCTGGCTTGCCCAGCGAGTCTGATTTCACAGGGGAATTGTCCCTGAGAGTACAAAGTAGAGGCTCCCTCAGGTTATGGAAGTGGCCACATGTGTCACCCTTTGCAGATGCCATACCCCTCTGCATGGGCTCTGTGTGATTGTATAAACATTTCCAATATGACAGAGAAACTTTTCTAGTCACCAGGCAATTTGGGTGATATTAATGAAAGTGGGTGAATGTTGGAGCTCTTTACCTCCAGCTTGATGAGAAGTATTGAAGAGCACGGGAGAGTCACTACCAGTTTTAGGATTTTGTTGCAGATCTATATTTTAGTGGTGTCGTCATACCTTCAGGGACTCCTCCATCTGTCCTTGGGATATACAGCCCATATGCAAAATCAAAGCCTGGCAGGGGGTAGCAGTTTCTCTGGGGCTTCCCCAGTTCCGCCTGCAAAAGAGTGAAGTTAAGGAAGTGTAAAGAGCTTTCCTGAAACTAAAACCCCTGAAAGTAAAAATTTGTAACAGAACGTGGCTGTGAGTACAATGGCTCTGGTTCCACTTGGCACCAGTTTGCATCCCACAGCCTGGGCACAAGCGAGCGTGACAGTGCAAAAGGAGAACTCACAGCTATGAGGCTTCACCAGAGCTGAAGCCTAAGGGATGCTGAATGTCACAGAAGTTTGTACCTGAGTTATAAAGTGGTCTGGCCTTGCTGGAAATAGGGATCCTGGCTCAATATATATATGGACTTGAAGTCTCCTTGTTTGGTTAACTTCTCCTTTGGCTGGGAAGCCCAGCTGTGGTGTCTGCAGGGGAGGCTCTGCAGCTAGTCTTAACTTTCCTTTGAGTTATTTCATTTCCAAGCTGTGCACTCAGAAAACTGGCACCAACTTCCCCAAGCACAATCACGTCACCACTCTTGCCTGGGGATAATCAAGACGCAAGGCATGTTGCAGGGGGAGGACAAGGGGGGTGAACAAGAGGGAGCAGAGCCTGGGGTTTACAGCACAGAAAAGAAGAGAACTTGAGCTCAATAACCTCATTTCTATTTAGTTTTAAAATGAACTCCTCCCCAGCCCATGTGTGTCCCAGCCTAGTGGTGTCTGTGGGATTAACTGACCTCCCCTCACCCCTTTGTCTCTCCCCTCCCATCTCCATGGTGAAGGCACTGTAGGGCGTGTGTGTCTTGAAACCTTATTGCTACTTGAAAGGGAGATGGTGGAGGAGGGAAGGGGCCAGAGCCTGGCAGCCGGGGTCTGTGCGTTCCTGCTGGGAGAAACTGGAGCTGGGTCAGGCGACAAGCCCCCCGGAGCGCAGAGGCATGGTGTGGGTGCTCTGGGATGGGTTATTTTCCATGGGAAGGGTGTTGGGGAAGCTGGGGGGTTGTAGGTGTTGGCAGGTGTTGTTGGGAGAATGGAAGTGCTGAAATCCTACTTCAGGGCTTCTTACGGGTGAATTATTGAACACTGGCATTGCAATGACCATTATTACACTCCAGAGTGAACGCTCTGGATCGGGAGATGCTGAATCAAATGCAGCCCTTTCAGCAGGGACTGAGAGAAGAGAGGGAGACTGAAAATGAGCCACCTCCAACTTGCTGCTATGGCAGGTTGAGGCTGTACAGTCAATAAGGGATGCTGCTTACTGGAGCTGCTTGTGTAGGAACATCATCCAACCCCAAACTGATGTTCTGCTCCCAGCCAGCGCTGTGCAAACCCACGGCAGGGGCCTTGGAGCAGCCATGGCTCTCCTGTATGCTGCCAGCCTCCTGGCCCCTTTCCAATGTGTTGTTAAATGGGACTCACCAAGTATGTGTGATGCTGCAGAGCAGCTTGAGCTGCTCTGCACCACCCTCAGCTCAGGCAAAGCTCTCCCTGAGCCGGTTTTGCCTGGAGAGCGAGGGTTAATAACCCCTGCTCAAACCAGGCACCTTTCCAGAGGGCTCTGCATTTACATTTCTAGAATTTGCTTATAGTTCCTCAAACTTTTTTTGCCTAGAGCCATTTTTTTTGTCCATTCAGTTTGGAGTTTCTCAGCTCCTGCCTCCATATGCAGCTACACAAAAACCTGAAAACACGCAGGGGCTGTGGCACTGGGCTCCTCACCAGCGTGTCCGGGGTGAGATTGTTCCCATTTGCTTGAGCAACTTGTCTGTGCTGTGACAACAGGTCTGCTCCTTTGCAGATCCTGGCAAACTGTCTGTCAGCTTTGCCAGTTTGTGATCACTGGGATGAGATCCTTTGCACAAGCCCCTACAGTGACGCTTTCAGGTAAATCCAGGGTCTTGCTTCCCAGCCCTGGGAGGGAGGTGCCTCATCTCGGTTCTGTTAAATCCCTGCACTTGTGGTGCTGTAAAGCAGGTGTGGTATCCTCGTGATTCTTGGGAGCACAAGTTCACCAGAAAATGAATATTCTGGACTTAAGATTCTTTGACAGATTCAGACCCCATCAGGCTCCTTGCTCTGTGCAGATCTGTAGTTGCAAACAGACCTTTTTGAGAGCAATCGGCTCAGCTACCTGACACAACCTGTGCATAACACGGTGCGTTCCCCCAGCTGCCTCCTGTGAACCTCTAGCAGAAGGGACAGTCCCTTGCAGATGTGTCCAGCACCAAGCATGATGGGACCGAGCAAGACTTGTAGTGCAACCGCAACCGAAATAGCACACGGTAGCGCTAAACCATATGTGCGTGCTGCGTGTGAGCCGGGGAGCTCGCGCAAAATGTATAAACTGGTGCCAGGGATGATGAAGTAGCTTTCACTGCTGATCTATTTCTGCTGTATTTACAGGCATTTGTACGCCAGCTATTTTTAGATTAGCTGTCGCTGATGTACAAGGGAAATGGTGTAGCATTGCTCAGATGCATGAGAAAAGGCTTTTTCCAGGGATCGTGTTCTGATTCCGGATCAGCTGAGGGAGGTCAGAAATTTGCTGTGATGGCGAAGGTGTGGCGGATGGCACAAAACTGCCGAGAAACTGCAGGAAAGGAGAGAGGTTTGTAACCTGTGGCAAAGCTGCTTCCAGACCTTTGAATGCAGAACTCTGTAGAATGGAAGAAATTATGGGATTTAAAGATTTCCTTTTGTAGAACACGGAAGTTAACACTTTTGGATATTTACTCCATCGCAAAACGAGTGCACCCTGCTTCTTTTTATGACGGGGTGGCATTTTACAGTCACTTTGCACTGAAGAAATAAAGCTGAAGGTGCTGAATAATTAATAGGAAAAAAATCTGGTCCAATATGTTGAACATGGAGAGAACCTGTGACTGAAGAAAATCAATGGACTCAGAGGACTCTGGTTGCCTGCCAACATCTTTTACCCACAAAAGCAAACAAGGAGAAGGAGGTAGCAGGAATAAATCTTGCTCAGTGTAATCCAAGATTACAACCTTTCTCGTTCATAAATTAGCAAAATGCTGTTGCAGCCTCCTGGGCTGGTTTCATTTGTTTGTCCTGGGGTGTTGTAGGTGTGCTGTGTCAAAGCTGTGGGGAGAGCGAGCCAAAGGTGATGCAGAAGGTCCTTTTTTCTTCCCCAGCTCCAGCACCTTTTCCTGTGTTCAGGTTTAGCCTGTCATAAAGCTGCTTGGCTGGAATACAGATCTGTCTGACAGCTGTGCCCATCAGCAGACAACTTCATTAAACCTCATTAAGATGTCATTTCTCTGCCTTATTTCCCACCTCTTGGCTCTAATTAAAACCGTCTCTCTCTGCATCCCAGGCGGTCCTAATTTTCTCTGGGTACCTTCTGTAAGTTTTCTCCCTTTACGACCTCAGTGAGGAAAATCCAGCATCTCAAATCCTGTTTATCCACCCTGTTCGGAAAATTCAGCTCTAGACTTTTCCTGAAGCACTCCCAGAGCATCCTGCAGAGATCATCACCTCCTCCCAGGGCTGCGAGAGAGACCTGTGCTGAGGCTTTGGTTGTTCTCTCAAACTGTCTTTAAGGACTTGGCTAAAGCATCCTTTCCCCTTGGACACGATAATTTTCACGGTTGTGTTCTGTCCTGGGTTTGGAGGGTGCCGTGCTCGGGCTGGCTGCAGCGCTGGGGGTGTGTGATCAGTGGGATACCCTGCTCGGCTGAAGAGCGAGTGGTGTTGGATGTATCGAGCTCCATGGCCTTTGCCAGGTGGTTTCTGCTTTGTGCAGCCCAAGGTTTGAACCCTGGATTTCTATTTGAGTGTCTAATGGTGTTGGAAAGCGTTTGCTGCGAGGGAAGAGGAGGGCTTGGAAATGGGTCTGTTTAAGAGGTGGGCGTGTTGCAAAGGTGTAAGGAAGTACAAAACCCTTAAGGATTCCTGGTTTTCTTGCAAGGCTTGTTAGTGTTTCATCTCCTGGTATTTCTGGCCCCGTTGACACACACTGCATCAATTTTCTGAAGATGACTGAGACTGTGAGAGTGTAAGAGACGTGCCTGTGTGGAGAGGTACGGTGAGAGACGGAGGCATGGATTTTTAATCCCTGCATCTAATGCCCCCCCTCACTGGGAGGTGATGCCGACCCACCGGGAGGGGATGCTGGGGAAATCCATGAATCTTCCCTGCGCTGACACAGCCGGGGCTGCCCCATCCCCTGCTCCATGGCTCTGCTCTGCAGCCGCCTGCAAACCCCGTGCCAGTGCGTTTTCAGCCCGCCAGGCCCTGCTTCCTTCTGTTCCCCTGTTCATTACACCCCCTTGTACAGTAAAGCCTCCCGTCACGCTGCCATTACTATTATTATTGCAGATTTACGGCACTTGCAGAGTGAAGCGATGGCGGTGACAGCGCCCAGCATTTTTCCCTCCTTCCCCCCACGACAGCTTGAAATCAAGCCCTTCATTTGCATTTACATGATCTTGCTGTGCAGCTTATGAGATCGGGAGATTTATTTGCTACTTAGCTTGATGTTTGATTACACTCTAAGAAGGCAGTGAGCTACAAAGTGCAGGGATACATCAGAACTGAGCTACGGAAAGCCTCTGGGGGACAGTAACTCAACATCAGGTTTAGGTAGATGAGAAAGGGACTGTTCAGTGTTTTGAGAAAGGCATATTTGATCAGATTTGGGTTTTTTAAAGGTGGAGGGGAAAAAAAAACCTTACATTCCCTGTCTCACAAAAAAATGGATGGGAAAAGAAGAATGCTGTTAGAAAAGCACACCTGAAAATCTGGGTTTGTTAATGCAGAAGAAATCCTAGCAGGGGCCGGTGGCTGCTGGGCTGCCTGCCGCTAACTGCTTGTAACTTCTGCTCCCAAGAAGATTATTAATAAGAAGTTGGCAGTTGTCTTCGAAGCTTTCCATAAACATTAAAGGTCAGTCAAAGGAAGTTTTGCTTGGTGAAGGACCACAAAATTTGGCCCTGATTTATTAAGCTTCAAAACATGCCCCTGAGCATTAATCCAGCTGTAATAGTGGGGAAACTGAGGCAGGGAACGAATGTGCCCATGCAGGGCAGCAAAGGGAACGAGTTTGGATTGGGGAGAGGAGCAGACTGCTCTGGTACTCTGT